GCCCTATTGATTGTTGGAATTATTTCATCTCCTAATTGTTGAGATACCAATATTAAGCTCTCAATGACTTTATTAGTGTTTTTTGTTCTGTTTTGGTAATATACCATGGCAATTTAAAACTATGATGCTCAATTTTGGTGTTGCATGTATTTAATTTTGGGCTAGGAAAATGGTTCTATATTGAAGAGGTAAATACGTTGAAAATTTGTATTCTTCCTATTCATAGGAAAAAATGGTTCCCACTAAAAACCCGAGTCGGTTTCTGTATTTGGGGCTAGGCGAATCCTTCCTGTAAAACTCCCGCAAGTCTTATATCACTATAACTACATGTCTACATCACTTTGGTGTAAAACATATTCAGTAAAATTTTTACACAATCTTCTTTGGACTTTGGAGAAGAATTCACACACCGAGATCAGAGCCTAGGGGACTTTCCTAGTGCCGGACGTACAAAAAAGAAAAAAGAGGTAGGAAGCAGATCCAAGTCCTCAATGCCTTTTCTTCTTTTGAATTTGGTAGTTAGGATTTTTAAAGTACTTTTGTTTCGGCAGATTAGTACGTCGGGGAGAACTATTTTCAAAGTGGTAGATTAGCTTGTCGGGGAGCAGACTTTGCACGGTGGTGGCAGTAGGGTAAGATCACTGTGCCGGAACATGGACAATTAATACAAAATTAATTAGTAGGTAATCTAATTTCTCCTATCCTAATATGGTTTATGGCGGCAATGGCGAGAATGGTGGCGACCTAGAGTCCCCTGGACGGGTATCGAACAAGCAAGAAGCAACCCCGCTCCGCCTAAAACATTGGGCCGATCACAGCATGAATGGGCCATTATATTCTAATGGTCCTGTGAAATTTTTCAAAGCTCCTTCATAAATACAAATTGTAAACTACCTCACTCCCTCATTACCGTCTCTCACCGCATCTCATCACCGTCTCTCACTCTCATAACCGCGCACCATATCTCATTCTTTGCAGTGGAGGCCGATCTTCACCACAGAAGTTAAATCAATTGTTCATCATCTTTCTCGACGTTGACACCGCATCTACGGTACATTCGAATTTCAGCATTAATTACTTCGTTTTCTTTAGTTTCGTAATTAAGGTTTCAAATCTATCTTCTTTCCATTGATACTCTATATGTCTTCTTATTAGTTTCATATTAATTCCATCAATTTTGTAGTCTGATCTCAAAAACAAGTTTGGATTTTGTTTGGATCCCTTTTTAAATGTAAACCCTAATCAATCCATTTTATTTTGATTTCTTTAAATAATTTGATTTTTTTTTTACTCACTAATCTTTATTATTTATATTGCAAATATAGGATATATTGGTGAAAGTCTATTGATTGATGATGATAAAGAGGACAAATATGTCCCACCAACTGCTCATCATCTCCCTAGCTGCTGATCCATGGTAAATCTGTAATTTCAGCATTAATTTCTTCATTTATATTTAATTATTAGGGTTTGAAATATATTTTCTTCCTCGACGTTGACACCGCATCTACGGTACATTTGAATTTCAGCATTAATTACTTCATTTTCTTTAGTTTCGTAATTAAGGTTTCAAATCTATCTTCTTTCCATTGATACTCTATATGTCTTCTTATTAATTTCATATTAATTCCATCAATTTTGTAGTTTGATCTCAAAAAGAAGTTTGGATTTTGTTTAGATCCAAACTATGATGCTCAATTTTGGTGTTTTATGTCTTTAATTTTGGGCTAGGAAAATGGTTCTATATTGAAGAGGTAAATATGTTGAAAATTTGTATTCTTCCTATTCAGAACATCAGTAGGAATAAATTGTTCCCACTAAAAACCCGAGTCGGTTTCTGTATTTGGGCTGGGCGAATTCTTCCTGTAAAACTCCCATCACTATAACTACATGTCTACATCACTTTGGTGTAAAAACGAATTTAGTAAAATTTTTAAACAATCTTCTTTGGACTTTGGAGAAGGATTCACACACCGAGATCAGAGCCTAGGGAGGTTTCCTAGTGCCGGACGGACAAAAAATGAAAAAGAGGTAGGAAGCAGATCCAAGCCCGCAACGCCTTTTCTTCTTTTGAATTTGGTATTTAGGGTTTTTAAGGTACGGTTGACTGTTTTACTAGACTTATCGATCCAGATTTGTTTTAATATTTATTTAATTTTTTTGTTTCGGCAGATTAGTACTTCGAGGAGTAATATTTTCACGGTGGTAGATTAGCTTGCCGGGGAGCAGTCTTTGCATGGTGGTGGCAGTAAGGTAAGATCACTGTGCCGGAACATGGACAATTAATACAAAATTAATTAGTAGGTAATCTAATTTCTCCTAAGCTAATATGCTTTATGGCGGCCATGGCGAGAATGGTTGCAACCTAGAGTCCCTTAGACGGGTATCGAACAAGCAAGAAGCAACTCGGCTCTGCCTAAAACATTGGGCCGATTACAGCATGAATGGGCCATTATATTCTATTGGGCCGTCTCTCATAAATACAAATTGTAAACTACCTCACTCCCTCATTACCGTCTCTCACCGCATCTCATCACCGTCTCTCACTACCATAACCGCGCACCATATCTCATTCTTTGCAGTGGAGGCAGACCTTCACCACAGAAGTTAAATCAATTGTTCATCATCTTCCTAGACGTTGACACCGCGGCAAGGGTACATTCGAATTTCAGCATTAAGTACTTCATTTTCTTTAGTTTTGTAATTAAGGTTTTAAATCTATCTTCTTTCCATTGATACTCTATATGTCTTCTTATTAATTTCATATTAATTCCATCAATTTTGTAGTTTGATATCAAAAATAAGTCTGGATTTTGTTTAGATCCCTTTTTAAATGTAAACCCTAATCAATCCATTTTATTTTGATTTCTTAAAATAATTTAATTTATTTTTTACTCACTAATTTTTATTATTTATATTCCAAATATAGGATATATTAGTGAAAGTCTATTGATAGATGATGATAAAGAGGACAAATATGTCCTCTTTATCCCATAATATGGTTTATGGGTGCCATGGCGAGAATGGTGGCAATCTAGAATCCCCTAGACGGGTATCGAACAAGCAAGAAGCAACTCGGCTCCGCCTAAAACATTGGGCCGATCACAGCGTGAATGGGCCATTATATTCTATTGGGCCTGTGGAATTTTTCAAAGCTCCTTCATAAATACAAATTGTAATCTACCTCTCTCCCTCATTACTGTCTCTCACTCTCATAACCGCGCACCATATCTCATTCTTTGCAGTGGAGGTAGACCTTCACCACAGAAGTTAA